AAAAACATTTCTATGAGAGATATGAATTCGTTTTGAAAAAAAAACGAAATGTTTTCTGATAGACTGTATAATTACTTTTTTTTTCATACATTTTAAAAATATATGATTAATAAATTCATATCATATCTCATACAAAGTAACAATATCCATCTTTGTTCAGATGTATTTATTATCTTAATTTTCTTTTTCTTTTCTTTTGGTATCTTACTGATGAAATATTAAAAATTTTACTAACATCTGGTAAAGCTAAAAAAAAAAACAATCAGTCAAGCCCTTATAAAAATTATAATTTCAGCAATTTGTTATGTACATTTTGCGTTATATTCTTTTATTTTAAAAACACTTTGTTTATTTGTTTTTTTTTTAGTAAAAAAAAAAAGTCTAAGTAGATCCTTTAAAAATGCCTAATGCTAATGCCAAAAGACAATTAAATGATGCAGTATTTAAGAAATCAATTGTATTTTTCAAACCAAAATCATTTTATGTTCAACTATGACTGCCCGAAATCCAAACATCAATCCACCGTTAATTGTTTCACATATACTGAATTTATGATTCAAACATTGTCTTATCTTACCCATACGAACTCAAATATTTTCGTCCAATGAGCTTGTTCGAAAAACCACTATCATTACCATCTCTACTTAGTTAAAATTTCATTAAAAATCACTGTTAAACTAATTGAGAGTTTATTGAAGAACAAATGCTAGTTTTCAGTAAGATGAATCTTTTTCACGGTAACTTTAATCGAATGAAGTTGAATTAATACTATAATATGAGTATGCTAATTACTATAAGATCTTGACAATGTGTCATTGACTCTCATCATAATAAAGTAGACAATATATGGCTACCTTAAGCGTTAGATAAAAAAATCTTTTGTGTGTATTTTCTAGTTGAATATATTTTTCATAAGGATAAGATGAGGATGTGAATCATATATTCAATTCATGTGAACTGATGAAGGATAGATTAATAGTGCGATTAAGATTTATTGTTACATTCGTGTACTGAAAAAAAAAATTAGCTCAATATCATAAAGAACAGGAGCGTTTCATGCTAGGATAACTACTTTTGTTCAGAACGGTAGAAGTAATGTTGAAGTACAGAACGATATTTTTTTCGAATTTTCTTGTCTTCATCAAACATAACAATGTCCTTAGTAATGATCCATGACAAAACGGTGACTAACATCCATTTGAAAACGAAGTTTATGGTGTATATTTTTTTTTTTTGTTTATCAATTATCAAAAGAGAAATTCATCAATTTATAGGTAAACTTTAAAAAAAAAGAAAATTCAAGAAGATAATATATTCATTTTAATATTACATGATGAATAAAACAGAGTATTGTGTTTATATACTATTGAAATAAAGTAATTTATTAAAACAAGTTCTTTTTTCTACTATATAAGTAATAACAATTTCTTTCATGTTACATATTTTAATCCCAAAGGAACTATGCTCATAGCTTTTGTTGCTTGAAATGAAATTACCAATTTCAAAAGATATTCATGCTATTATTAGTAGTACAATAAAGATGATGGTAAAAAAAAAAAAAGAAGAAAAGTCATGTCAATGAATAAAACTAGTGTTTAAATTTGCCGTAAAATTGACGACAATTTTGCAGCAGTTAAAGACTAATAAATAAATAAAAATGTTAATATGACTGTATTCTTCTCCGTTTTTGTGCGTCATTTTCTTTTTTCTTACTTCTATACATCATAATATTTTCTTTTTCTTTTGTGTTTGACACGGTCGAATTAGAATTGTCGTTAGTTCTTTTTTTTTTTTTCTTCTGTAAGAAAAAGAAGAAATGAGCATTGTATTAGAATGATTTAAGAAAAAGAAACAACTTTTCTATCTTGAAGAATCATGATGCTATTTTTTATATAGCAAAAAATATTTGTAAACATATTCATCATGATCAGTTAAATCGTAATTATATGATATTGGTTGAATGTATTCAAGGTAAGACACATTTTTTTCTTTAGATGTTCAGGAAAGTGATGTCTATCACTTGTGTTGACAGATCAACAAATGACGACTATAGGAAGTAAATGGCAACGGAAATCGTTAGACAGGAAATAGATGCGAGAGCATCTAAGAAATCAAAAAAAAAACACAAGAGTTTATAAATGTTAATAATATTTCTATAAAACTATAAGACAAATATCATATTTTAAATTGACTTAATAATTAATCAATAGTAAATTATAAAGTAAACTAATAGAAATTGAACTTATATAAAATATCATATATTATATATTAATAATTTATATCGATAATATTCTTTTATATTTATGATTTTAGTTTTTTATTTTCATCAAAACTTAAATAATAGTTAAATCAATCAATTTCCGTTGCAATCATACTAATCATAGCACATAATCGGAACTAATTAGAACAAATTAACATTTTTTATTCTTGTTGTCTCTATCGAAGTCAAATTCGATTAGAATCTGCACATAACCATGTTTTTTAATTTTTAGCACGAATAGGCCTATCTATCCTTCGAGATTAATTCGTTGTCATTTCTTGTATTTTTCTTAGTCGTTACTATTATTTTTTGGCTTTTGTATTTCAGTGATGTGAGATAAAATAGTGCACATGCATAGTAACATGTCTATTCAATTACAGTACGGTATTGCTATTTCTCTCAGTGTTTGTTTTTTTTTGTAGACTATTGTTATTCTCGTTTACTTCCATTAATAAAAGTGGATGACCAATCTAATTTTATATTTCATAAATTAATATAAGTGTAATATATAGATTTTCTTTTCTTTTCTTGGTTTTTGGTTATTACGGATGACCAAATTGTTAGTTAGAGATACTATTCGATAGTTAATATTGGGAATAAAATAAAAAATTGCGTGTGTATATGTTAATAAAGTGAATGAGTCAACTGATCGTTTTCTTTTTTCTATGTCGTTTCTATTATTTAGTCAGGACTAGAACATGAATAAATGTAAATTCTGTCACGTTCTCAGGACATTTGACGATTAAAATAGAAACAATTGGCTTAATTGTTTTCATTAATAATTTTTTTTTTCTTTTTGAAGTAGATACTAATTATTATTTATTAGAATTTATCTGATTATAAATATATATATATTTTTTTTAATTATATTATTGACTAAATTTATCGAATTTCAAAAATGAAAGATATGACTTGAATAATTTTGATTTTATTTTAAATAAAATGTATTTTGAATGTAAGTATTTAAAGAATTATAGTTTGTTATAAGAAATAGAATAAAAATTTTATGAAATAATATTAATATAGATTACATAAATCTATAAAAAAAAAAACTACATTTTCAAGGCAATATTTATTAGTTTTTCTAATTAAATAGTTTTTTTTCTTTTTCAAAAATCTTAATTATCCGTTAAATAGCGCCATCTATAAATATAATTTTATATTATTTAACTCAAAAGTTTTTGCTTCATTTATGAAACGATTATAATTAGAAAAAATTTTATTATTTTATCTTTTTTTATTTTTTGTTCACTATATATATCAACGATTTATTGGTTGTATTGAATCAGTTGATCAACTGTTAATATTAATCACTGAAGCGTTTTACTTGCTCATTTTGTTTCTTTTTACTATGCACAAAAAAAAAATTTTCTTTTTTTTGTTTTCTATCGTATCTTGTTTTTTTTTTCTATTCTTCTCTTTAAATATTCTATCGTTTAGTTTAATAAGAATAAGTACAGATTTTTCTTTTTTTTCGAAAAAATTTCTAAGTGTCGTTTGCTTTTTGTTTTTTTTTTCTTCTTCTATTTTTATTTTATACTAACGGAAATGAAATACAAAACTAAAGGATGTTCTTCAATTAGAATTTTAATTGTTTAGATTTTCTATTTTTTTTTTTGAGAATATTTCATTGGAAATAAAACAATATATTATACATGCAATATTGAATGATGTTATATTTCGTTGTTGAGATTTTTCTTTTTTTCTTCTCTAAAAATACTTTTTATTTTCTATATTTTGTTCAATGATACGAGAAAAAAAAACAACAACAACAACAAAGATAGATTGATTGAGATTTTGACGATCTTTGATACCCATCAATATGCATTAATCGAATCGTAGAAGATGTCGTGTACGAAAAAAACAGACCTCTCCACATCGTGTCATTGTCAATCGAGAGAACAATCGATTTGTAAGACAACAATAACCAAAGAAGAAAAAAAAAAAAAAAAGAATCACTATATCGCTTGTTTGTTATGTTTCTTCTTCTTCCTTTTTTTTTCTCTATTAGTAGCTAAATATTGTTGTTGAGTATAAGAAGGAGAACAACGATAGTTCGCGTACTCCTTCGATCCCTTGTTGATGATGTGAAAAGAAAAAAAAAAAAAAAAAGAGAAGAAAGCAAAATGTTTGCAGCTTGGCATACACACATGCATTGAAGCTCGCATAACAACAACAACAATAACTATAGAATCGACGACGATGGAAAAACAAACGCAAATAAAAAGAATGTCTATTATTTTCCTTCGTTTTTTTCTTCTTTTTTTCTTTCTTCTTTTTTCATCCAGCGGCAAAAAGAAAAAAAAAAACTTGATGATAAATGAATTTCTTTTGCTTTATGCCGTCGACATGTTCTGCACAAGCATTCAACAGAAAAGAAACAAAAAAAAAAGAAATAAAGAAAAAGAACATCGTTTCGTGTCCATGTAAAAGAAAAAACGAGAGAGAGACAGAAAGTAGGAAATCTATTTTCATGCCCCAATGGACGATATGTGGTTCTGCATCATTCTCTTTTCTCACTTTTTAAAACGCATAATGTATGCAGGTATCCTATCGACTACCTTATGAAGGACAAATAACCAAATATAGATATATAATAAAACGTATCATTTTTTTTTTGTTCTAGATCTATTCTATTTTTATTTTGTTGTCTTGTCATGCTATTGTACCAACTATTTAAACAAAATATCTCAATGTCATTTAAATATATAGCATTATCTTCCTGATAAAAAAAAATATAATGGCAACAAGTACAACAATATCATCTAATAATATTTCTACTTCCTCTTCATCACCATCTACAACTGATGCAACATTAATAATGCCAACTGTTGAACGTATAATGAAAAGTACGAATTAAATAAAAAAAAAAAAATCTTTAAATAAATAATAATATATGAGTTTAATCTTTATTTTTATTTTAGCCATTCCATGTCCACCAAATTCACGTTTAACAGCTTATGATGTATTCGATTCACGTGGAAAACCTCGTGTTGATGTATTGAAAACACATTTTATTTCTGAAGGACGTGTAACTGAAGATGTAGCACTTAAAATAATTGAAGATGGTGCAAAATTATTACGACAAGAAAAAACTATGATCGATGTTGAAGCACCAATAACTGGTAAATGAAAAAAAAAAAATAATTGTTTTTTTTTTGCTTCATTTATTTGATTTATTATATAATAAAATTTAGTATGTGGTGATGTTCATGGACAATATTTTGATTTAATGAAATTATTTGAAGTTGGTGGTTCACCAGCTACAACTCGTTATTTATTCCTTGGAGATTATGTTGATAGAGGTTATTTTAGCATTGAAGTAAGAAAATAATTCATTCGAATAAAAACTATTTTCTATTATATTTTCTATTACAATTTAGTGCGTTCTTTATTTATGGTCAATGAAAATTCTTTATCCTACAACATTTTTTCTTCTTCGTGGTAATCATGAATGTAGACATTTAACAGAATATTTTACTTTTAAAACTGAATGTAAGATTTATTGTTTTTTGTTTTTATTCTAATATGTTTATCTATATCTAGGTAAAATTAAATATACAGAACGTGTATACAATGCATGTATGGAAGCATTCGATTGTTTACCACTTGGTAAGATATATATATATTTAACTAATGAGGTTTCATTCAACACGATAAAAGAATTTAAGTATCTCATAAAAGAGAATATATTTTATGAAGAAGAAGAAGGAAAAACAAGGGAAGTCTTCAAACTAATTAATTTGTTGTAAAGTCAAAAATTATGTGCAATATGTGTTGATCTTAATAAATTGTGAATACTCTATCAAGAGTATGTACTATTAGCTTTTTTTTGAAAAAACAAACAAACAAATACTATCATGAAAATTATCATAGAAACAAACATTAATAAGATTAGTTTTGTTTTTTTTTTGTTAATGTTTTCGATCTTTTCATCTTGCTGCTTATCTGAAGATAAAGCGATGGTAAAAATAGTATCTTTGATATCAACAAATCTCTACTGTACTGATTTCAAAATAGAAATGCATAAAAAAAAAAAAAAACTTATTTTCTATGAAAAATTTTAAATCCTAATTTAAAAATTAAAGTTTCATAACAATAATATAGATTTGAAAAATACTATTGAAATGTAATATTTTCTCATTTTAATAAGACAAGAGTTTTGCACTTTGTCTTTTTCAAAGTTTCTTCGATTCTAAATGACTTACATTGTCTGAACTCAATAATAATTAATCAGTTGAAGGATTTCCTTTGTCAGTCGGAAGTTTAATATAATTCAGTATAGAATTTTAATGTCAGATTATATATATTAAAAGTATTTAATAAGATTGAATTTCAAATATTTTCTAATATAAATATATAACCAATACTAATAAATCATTTGTGTATATATACGCTTCACTGATTTTGATCATTATGTAGTAAATGATTGAGAATAGATTTGTATTCTTCAGTTTCTTTTTTTGTTTGTCAATGCCAATCTTATTTTTTTTTTTGTATTCTAGCTGCTCTTATGAATGGACAATTTTTATGTGTACATGGTGGTCTTTCACCAGAAATTCATACACTTGATGATATTAAAAGACTTGATCGTTTTAAAGAACCACCACCCTATGGACCTATGTGCGATTTATTATGGTACAAAAAAAAAATTCTTCAATAAAAATAAAATAAAATAATTTAATATTCTTATTCATATTTTAAGGTCTGATCCACTTGAAGATTATGGTTCTGAACGAACTACAGAACAGTATAGTCACAATACAGTACGAGGATGTTCGTATTTTTATAGGTTTGTTAATATTAGATTATAAAAAAATTTTATTAATAAAATAATATATGTGTATTTTTTTTTTTTGATAAAAATAGTTATGCTGCGTGTTGTGATTTTTTACAAAATAATCAATTATTATCAATAATTCGTGCTCATGAAGCCCAAGATGCAGGGTAGAAAAATATAATCGATTAATTTTTTTATTTTTGTTTTATTGAAATATAGTTATCGTATGTATAAAAAATGTCAGAGTACCGGTTTTCCAAGTTTAATTACAATATTTTCTGCTCCAAATTATCTTGATGTTTATAATAATAAAGCTGCTATACTTAAATATGAAAATAATGTGATGAATATTCGTCAATTTAATTGTTCACCTCATCCATATTGGTTACCAAATTTTATGGATGTATTTACATGGAGTTTACCATTTGTTGGTGAAAAAGGTTAAAAAAACTTTTTTTTTGTTTTTTTGCTACAGAAAAGAAAAAAAAAATGGAAGTTTGTTCGTCTTTTTTTTTTGTAGTTACTGAAATGCTTGCTAATGTTCTTAATATTTGTTCGGATGAAGAATTAGAAAATCCAAATACACCAATTGATGATGGTATGTTGATATTTTATTTATGAAATCAATATATAATCTTTTTTTGTATTCTTTTGTTCTAGTTGATACGACAAATGAAGGTATGTAGAATAGAAAAATATTCTCTAGAGAATGATGCATTTGTTCATTTTCTTTTTTTTTGTTCACAGCCGCCTTAGCAGCACGCAAAGAAGTGATACGTAATAAAGTACGAGCTGTTGGTAAAATGGTTCGTTATTTTGCAACATTAAGGTATATTTATTGTTTTAGAAGAAGAAAAAAAAAATTATTTTTTTTTTATTTCTCAGAGAACAAAGTGAAGATATTCTAACATTAAAAGGATTAACACCAAGTGGTCAATTACCATTAGGAACACTTGAAGGTGGTAAAACAGCTATTGATCAAGGTATATGGAACAATCTAAATTTAAAGATTTATTTATTTTTTGTTTTTTTTAGCTAAACAATTAATTGCTAATAAAAAGAAAATATCATTTGAAGAAGCAAAACGTTTAGATAAAAGTAATGAAAGTATGCCACCATGGCAACAACTTCATCCATCATCATCTGGTCTTACATCGGGTATTGGTTCAAGTGGTACAGCATCATCAAATAGTGGTACATCATCACCACGTAGTGTTGGAACATCAAATGTATCATCATCATCTGTAACACATGCCACTGCATCATCATCATCATCATCACAACCAGTTAATACATTAGCTGATGCATCATCAGGTGTAACAACAAATTTATTAATGGATTCAACAAATACAAATTGTAATGGTAATGATAAAACATCTGGAAAAACTACAAATCAACAATCATCATCATCATCATCATCACATCAACGAACGAAGTGAAAAAGATAAATTATTTATTAATAGTCTCTTTCTTTTCTTTTCTTTTTTTTCTTTCTCCTAGCGTGAATTATTTGCATTCACTGATATAAATACTTTTCTTTTTTTTTTTATGGAATGTTGGTTTAATTATCAGCAATTTCATTTTCACTTTCTTTTTTTTTTCTTTTTGTAAAAAGTTGAAGGACACTACATTTTTTTGTTTTTTCGTTCCTCTATGTGCATGTCTAACTTTTTTCGTGATAACTATAAAACGTTTTTTTTTTTGTCGTTGGTGTGATGAGGATGTGTGTGTGTGTGAGAGAGACTGTTTCTTTGTATTAGCCATATTTTTCTTTAATGTTGTTCTGCGCTATGCTTGCGTCCGCGTTTTTGTTTTATTTTTTTTTTTTCGTTTGCTTCGTACTTTCCACAATTACAACCAGCAAGATCGCGTGTTTTCTTTATTTGTTTTGTTTTGTTCGTTGTGAGCGATGAAATTCCTACTTTTCTTTATCATTTTTTTTTTCTCCTTGTCTTTTATTCTGTGGAAAAAAACAGCATGACGACAATAACTAGAAAAGAAAAAAAGAACCCGTATATATGGATGAGTTATTTGTTCAATGAGAAGATACAAAAAAAAAGAAAAAAGTCGAGATTTTGTTTTTAGACAATTTCAAGATTAATTAAAAATTTTGTTAATATATTGATCGTTTATATATGAAGGATATAATTTTTAAATATTTAGAAAATCTATAAATAATTCAAATGGACAATATTTTAACTTAAGTCTAGGTTTTTTGCTTTTTTTTTAATGATTTCAGTAATCGATTTATTCATTATGAATCTACATATGTCTTAGATTATTGAATAAGTATTTATAATATATTGAAAATTTTTCTTTACAATCATTTATTTGCATCGATGAAGAACACCAAAAAACATAAAAAGGATTACGTCTATTTTCTTTTTTTTTTGTATTCTGATAATCATTTATCAATTTATTTGATTTATTATACATATAAATTTTCAATAGTGAATATTAAATACGATATAGAAATTTCGTTGTACATGAAAAGAATTTATCTACAATATGTGTCATGTTTTGTTTTATTTATTTATTTCTTTTTTTTGACATTTACTCGTCTTACATAGTACTTGTCTTGTATGTTGATATTAATGATAAAAAGAAAAGAACAAAAAAAGGCATTTTTTTTTTTTCGTTACGAATGTAAGTATATCTTATAGCAAAACCAAAAGGAAGAAGAAGTAATATTCCTTTTTATCAATAATAACTTGAGTCAGAATTTCCAAATAATGACAAGAAAGAAAAAGTTCCAAGGATTGTATCAATCAATGACGTAAAACTACAGATAATTGTGTTCCTTCGTCTTCGACATATATATATATTTAAGCAAAATAAAATCTTCTCTATGTATATCTTTATCATTTTGATCAATAAACAAAATTATTTTATCATAACTATCGTTTAGTTTAAATCTTCATGGGGCAAAAAAATACAGCATTTATGGATAAAGAATCATATAAAAATCGAGCAAAAAATCAACAAATTAAATCGTAAGTATCAAAAACAATTCATTTTTTGTTAATAATAATTATTTTTAAAAAAAAAACAAGATTCGAACAACAAAATTCAATGTCTCATCGTCATTATATATCATCGGAATCTACAAATAATAATTCTAATTTAAGTACAGCTGAGCGTTATATTAATATGCAATCACAAATGATGCTTAATCAAAATAATCATCAACTAGAAATTTCTTCTAGTGGACGTACTACTCCTTGTGCTAATCATGCTGAAATTATGCATAAATGGCATAATAGACAAGTCAATGAAATATATAAGAATATGCCATATCGATATCAATATGAAACATCTTCATATTCATCGAAGAATTCAACGTATCATAAAAATGATAGTCAAATAGATACATATGGTGTACAAAAACCTTATTCAACATCTAATATAGATCATAAAAAGAAAAGATAATATATTGATTTGTATTAAAATAGAACAATCGATTACCAAATGTTTTGTATGAGAACAATAGATTATTTTCTTTTGTAAAGATAACCATACTTTAGATTTAACAAATAACTGGTGATCGATAATAAATGGTCTACTTTTTGTATTTTAATTTCTAAATACTTTTTGTGAAAAATGATCTGAAAAAAAGTATGGAAGTATTTAGGGATAGAAATTTGGACCCACCCTAGAGCCCGCCGGGTCCAATATTTTTGGACCCGGATTCTACCCCGACTCGATCTTGTCTGTATCTGAGGCCAAACGAATGTGTTCTACTGAACATAAACAACCAAAAGCAACTAGCTCTTCAGAGAAAACTGAAGATCAGTAAAACTTCGAAAAATATTCTCATATGCATCAAAAATTGCTTTAGACTCGGACCCTACCGGGACCCGCTTTATTGAAAATAGCCAGCCCCGGACTCGACCGGGTCCGAGTCCAGGTCCAACCCGACGGGCTCTAGCCCACCCCCTCCTCCTTACAGACTGTGATAGACAGGCTTCAGAGATCATCATAGACTATGATAGAAGACTTCAAGGAAATATCAGAGATAATGCATAACTAACATATAATTCGAGCATATATGAATTATTGTTCTGTTCAAACTCTATAATGTAAAGTAAGTCATGATGAAAAAATATGCATATAAAAGAACAGACTCTAGAAGATTGGCAACAATGTTTCACATTTTAATCTCACAGGGCTTGTGCTAACAGCTTTTATTATCGGACATCTGTTAATATAGACAGTCAAATATTTAATAATGCTGCGTATTGGATATTTCCAAACGAAAAAAAAAAAGTTCTGTAATTTAAAGCTTAAATTTGAGTGTAAAATTGAAATTCAGTAAATTTTAATTATTGACGTTATTTATATTAAAATTAAATTCAAGACTTAGACGATATCATGTTATCTCAATTATCTCTTGCAGAATAGAAATCTAGTCTAAAAGTCATGTGTCTATCACAGTGGTTGACCTAAATATAAAACAAAAAATGTAAAAAAATTGAATAGATTAATTTATTGCTCTGTCATTATTCAATTGTAGTTCTATTTATGTGCTTAATTTTTGTAGTAACCGATAATTAAAATTTTTTCACAACTTAACATTTGCAGATAATTGTAGGAGCATTGTGAAATAGGATGTAGGCATGCGATCATACCATTATCTTAGATTCCTTCTCATTATGGGTTTATACACAATTCAAAAACGAAACATTTTTCAAAGATGAATGATTCAAAGTAATATGAACGTTAATTATAATTAGTGTAATATGATAAAATATTGATTATAAGATTTGAACTATCGATTTCTTAGAAATAAAGAATTCTTATTTCATGATTAGAGATTTTATATATCTGCCATGATAATTCAAATATATCTCATTTCATTTCTCATCTATGATGAAATCGTTGAGCAAAATATTATATTAATTACAACTATATATGTGAATATGAGAACTGACGTGAAGAATTGAATATTTTGTCTATTTTATAGTATGTGAGAGTTAAACATTGATTTCATAAAAACTATTATAAGTATTCAGAAATCGATGACACAATTTAAAAATAAAATAAAAACTCACTTTTGACTTGTAAAATAAATTAGAACTCGTCTGAATTTCGAAATATGTGCAAGACAAACGAAAGTTAATGTTTAAACAAAATACATTTGAAATAAGAGTCAAAAAGCAATAAATAACAAAGATAACAGCTAATACTTCTTCATCTTACATTTATTCTATTAAACAAGATAGAGATCTGCAGTTATCAACTGTTCTACAGACCAGAGATGTCCATCGCGGCTGACAATCTGCCGCTGCCGCGCCGCGGCCTTAGAAAAAAAAAGCTGCCGCACCGCTGCCGCGCCGCGGCGGTTTATAAAAAAATGTTGCCGCGACGCTGCCGCACCGCGATGACTTATAAAAGAAACGCTGCCGCGCCGCTGCCGCGATGAGTTATAAAATAAACGTGCCGCCACCGCGCCGCTGCCGCGACAATTTTCAAAAAAGTGTTTCTAATTTCACTGCTGTGACTATATTTGACCAGAGATATGGGTACTAGTCCATCAGATTTATTCAATATCAGGGCGTTTCATTTGTAAATCGTGAAATTCTATTAAATTCATACAGTTTTTCAATGTCCTCCGAAAAAATCCTGCCGCTGCCGCGATGGTTTTTTAAAAAACCTGCCGCTACCGCGCCGCGATGACTTTTAAAAAAATCTGCCGCTACCGCGCCGCTGCCGCGGTGACTTTTTTTAAAAACCTGCCGCTGCCGCGCCGCCACCGCCACCGCGGCAGCGGCAGCGGCAGCGGCGGCGGCGCGGCAGCGCCGCGATGGACATCTCTGCTACAGACCACCGTAGGAAGCATGATTATATGAAGAAAAAAAATATTCATCACCTATTGACTAATCAAATTAATATTTATTCAAATTTTCCGCAAGACCACAATTTTTAGCTTACTCTTTTTCAAGCTATGAACATTTTCAAGTGAGCTTGACAATCGGTTAATTGACATTTGATCACTCTAAACCGGACTCGATAAGAGATTTTCGTTTACACTGAATTCAATAGTAATGTTTGTATTCAGTTACAAAATAACTTAAGATTTTCAAGAAGATGACTCGGTATGCCGCTGTCAAATAGGAGAGTTTTGACCGAACTTAGGAGAGTAGTGTTTGAGTATTTTTCGGGAACTGATAAGTAGAGAAAAACAAATCAACACCGGAATTCCGCCGAAGAAAAAAAACCCATAATTTTTCAAGATTGGGCGGTAACCTCGACTGAAAATTTATTTGATTAAACCATAGCAGAACAATCAGTTTTTTTTTTCATAAACTTATATCTTCTAATCTTCTCGTTCGAATAGTCAAAATTATAGATTTCTATCCTTGAAGTTATTAGCAGACTATATTTTAAAAGGTAAATCAGTGTATGACTCGGATCGAATCACAAAAAAAAATAGATTAACATCAGTTCAAGTTACACACACACAAAAAAAAACAAATTCTTCAAGTTCAGAACGGATCTTCACTCTTAAAATTTAGCAAAAAAAGAAAAAGCTAAGTTTAAAATTTGTTTTTTCCATTTAAAAATTTCTAGAAAAAGTTAAGTAGGACAAGCAGTTATTGAGTACACAATCATGTCTTCTATTTCACCTACTTTTTTTTTCTTGCAAAATAAATGCATTTTCTCTTCCAGTCAGACAAAGAAAAAAAGAAAACTTGTTGATATTAGAATACGATTCGGATCAGGCTAAGAAATATGATCTGAGTACAAAAATTTTCAACTTATCAACTCTAATAACCGATAGTAATAAAAAATTTAATATTTCATCGTTACTACTGTTTTTTTTTTCTTGAGATTCTTTATTATGGTAAATTTCAAACAACAACAAAAAAAAATAAAATAAAACATAACTATATATAATAAAGAATGAAATGAAAGACAAATTTAATTGCATTCTGTATATGTTGATACAGTATTACCTTCACGTCGTGTTATTGTATGACAATGTTGATGTGTATGTTTAGAAAAACTTGTTGTATGTTTATGAACATTATCTTTAGTAGAACTATCACTAAATCCTCCAAATAAATCACCAATATTGATATCAGTACCAAAAATACCATTTGAATCCATTCCAATTTCATCATCATCATCAAAAAGTGAACCAAAATCAAAACCAAAAGATCCTTGTTCTGCACGTTGATGTGCTTTTTGATGTGCACGTTGATGAGCTTGTTGATGTGCACGTTGATGTGCTTCATGATGTGCTCGATGATGTGCTTCATAAAATTTCGCTGATGCTTCATCAAATTCTTTAAAAAAATCATGCATATTAAAATGAAAATCTGATGAACCATGTTGATTTGATGATGAATCAAATGTATGATGTCCATGAATATCATATTCACGACGTTTATCTTTATTACTTAATACATCATAGGCTTCAACAATAGTACGAAATTGTTCTTCAGCTTTTGGATCTTTATTTTTATCTGGATGATATTTTAAAGCTAAAAGAAATAATAATAAAGAATAAAAATGATTTGTTTTTTTTTTTTTGTGAATTTTTACCTAATTGACGAAATTTTCTTTTAATTTCTTTTTCAGTTGCATCTCGTTTAACACCTAAGATTTCATAAAAATCTTTAGCTGCAACTATTATCAAACAAATTAATAATACGACATATTGTATCCATGTGTTTATTTTCATATTTTTTTTTTGTTGTTGTTAATGATGATTATTCGATATATAATCGTACGAAATTAAGCAGTTGACTTGTGTTTAAAAGGCTTTTTCAACCATTCGATGTCATGCACCATTGCTAGTGAGGTTGCTTTATGTGATTGGTCTTTATACAAACCAACGATAGGACAGAAAAAGAGAACAGGTAAAATAAAAATAACAAAAAAAAACAAACGTATTAGAAAAATATCAATACATACAGCCATCTAGAATTTTAGAAAAATTATTCGCTTTGAAAACACTCTAAAAAAAAGTGTATTTTAAATAGCGGCGGTTCGAGGGTTTTTCAATATGCTGGATTTCACCTTCAGACCATGGGACCCAGATGAAACTTATAGAGGTATGATATTGGACTCAAATGATGAGTTTTTATCAAAAGATTTTTGTATGGGAGTTTGCGAAAAAAATTAGCATTTTCCTGAGGTCTTCCAAGATTTTTCGTTCTCAATTAGTGGTATCTTGTTTTTTAGAATTTAATAGTAAGCTACATCAAAATTCATGGACAGATTTCAAATTTCATCTAAAAATATTCACCTGCTCATAAATTATAATGTTATAAAAATTTGCTGCATGGTGCTAAAATTTTAGAAAAAATTCAAAATATTATAACTCATAAGCAGACGCATATTTTTAGATGAAATTTGAAATCTGTCGATGAATTTTGATGTAGCTTACTATTAAATTCTAAAAACCAAGATACCACTAATTGAGGAAGAAAAAGCTTGGGGATCTCAGGAAAATGCTAATTTCTTTCGCAAACTCCCATTACAAAAATCTTTTGATAAAAACTCATCATTTGAGTCAAATATCATGTCTCCATAAGTTTCATCTGGATATCATGGTCTGAAGGTGAAATCCAGCATACTGAAAAATCCTCGATCCACCGCTAATTATAAATCAACTGTAGTAAACTTACGAGATGCTATTGATTGATTTATTTCCTGAAGGCTGGCAACGCATATTGTATACCTCAGGTTTGGAATCAACTTCTGATTAATTTGTGTATATTATTTACGATTTGCGGTAGCATACATAGCTCTGCAATTTGTTACACTTTCAAACTTATTATGAAGATTTGGATGATGCTCCAAAAAAAAAGACTTAAACTCATTCATAACGTAAAAATATCGGTATTTCAACTTATTGATAAATGCATAGCTATCATTACAACTTTTTCTGTTTTACTATATATACTTCGATTATATTGTCATAGGTTTTTTGTTCTCATGAGATGCCTAATTCGAGTTTTCATATAAATGTGATTTTAACTGCATGATATCATTTCGAAAATACACGAAAAAAAAGCTATCATGGTACTATAGCACAAAGACAAACATGAAATCTTTTTGAATTATATTTTCGATATCGTTGAAAATGTTAGTGTAGTAATTAATGTTCTATTACTCTGTTGTTTATTCTACAATTTAAAACTGTCATTGTGAATAGCCACAAGGGAGAAGCGCTTGACAAAAAGCCGCGACCCATATTTGTCTCTTTGTAAACAATAATCGTAACCAGTGGGCGAGTCGAAATTTCGGGTGGGCGGCACCCACCCAGTAGATAAATCACTGATCGTCACTATGGATGTCATTTTAACATTAGTACTCAGCAGAAGTTACATCTTTTAAATTAGCATTACTTGAATTTCAATTATTTCATAAGTTTCCAGTGTTCTTGATTCTCATGTCTATTCCTTTTCATCTGCTACTCTGCCATTAGAATTGAAGCACTTCAAATGCTTTCTGAACCGATCGGACTGCTGTTTTAAGGATATGAGGAACAATTCGCAACTTCTCCGGTGAATGCTGTATCATCTAATTGGTACCTCTAGTATGGTATGTCATACGTGTAGCATTTCTAGCGATATCAGTAACAGCTCCAACGGTATCTGAGAGATCTCACCCACAGAAATAATAAATTCAGCATTTCAGGTGATGCCTGAAGTATCTCAGGCAGTAGCAGCATCGAGGAATATTTCCAATGAATTATAATTTCAACTAGAGGTGTAAACTATCCAGCTGCGCCGCTGCCACTGTGAAAACGTTAGTTCAGGCGTTGCACCGCCACTACGAACGAAAATTTTTGATAATAATATGATGCGCCGCCGCCATTGACATAGATACATATGTGATCGAACATTTTCTCGCCTTTTAAGAGCAAAAACGTTTTTTTTCGGTTGTCAAAGCCGCCGCCGCTATGGAAAAAAAATTTACAATTAAATCCACCGCCACCAGTGTAGAAAAACATAGAGTCTAGTACGCACCGCCACCATGGAAAAAAATTGCGCCATTAAAACAGCCGTCGCCGTTTGACCCTTCGGCTTACACCTCTAATTTCAACTCGAATTCAAATGAAAATTTTATCTTTGGTTTTTGACAATGGGCAAGAGCGGGACGTGATTTCGAAAGTTTTAATCATTTTCCAATTGGAACTAGGAAGCTATTCATTTTTCCTGCTACAATAGTTTCACTAATGAATATAGAAGGATTCATTTATTTTTAAAACATCTATATAGATGTCGCTTTAAAACTGTAAAATTTTTAAAAAATAAAAACATATTATAATAAGAATAATAAAAATAAAATAATTATTTTAAAATTTATTTTAACAAATTTTATAATTGTAGGAAAAAATTCAAATCGCCATCTTTTATCAACAATCCTCTATGTTAATGTATTTTATGAGTCAAACATCTTTTCCCAGTACGTCATTGTTTTTTTGTCGCCCCCCGATTGTATATTACACAATTATTCATTCATTGATTTTATATAACTTCGTCATTCGTAAGTTAAACCCTCTAAACTTTCATTAAATAAATATATAATTTAATTCATGATGCCACAACATAATGAACATTTATCTTTTACATCAGATGATTTTGTCTCAGATATTGATTATTCCGAAGCACGTAATATTCTTGATATAACAACAATAAAACAAAAACAACTACGTCGACAACGTTCACAAACATTATATACACAATTATTACTTAAACGTACATATGTACATGTATGTGAATTATTAAATTCAGAATGTATAACAAAAAAATCTACGCCATTATCAATAATTGATATAAATAAACGAAAATTATCAACTGATCATCATGATTTATCATCAAAAGTTAAGAAAATGAAAAATTCTATTGATAATGATATATTACAATTTTTACGTGAATTAAATTCTGTCAAAGTAACAAACAGGTATTGAAGAGAGAGAGATTCATAAGTCTACATATATATATATTGAAAAAAAAAATTTAGTGAATACATCGAACTCTCTTCATATATGGAACAAACAATACCAATTACAGTCGTCATGTAAGTGTTTTTATATTCAAACAAGACGGTACATACACACATTTGTGCTATTCGGTGAATGATCTTGTTTTGTTTCTTGTTTTTTTTGTTTTTTTTTCTTCGTTTACTTTATCAGATATGTTGTAGTGTATTAATAAAAAAACATAAGGCAGTGTGCCTCAATATATATATGATTATATTTTAATGGTCAAGACAAAAAAGATGATTTATACGTATTGTGTGAGCCATTTTTCCTATTGCTCTATTTCCCGTTTTAATTTCTTATAGAAACAATCAACAGATACATCCATCATGGTCATCTATTGTGGTAAATAATTCTAAGTTTTAATACAATGGAGAAAAAAAAAATATATTCAACGATTGGTATGATTCATAACAAGTATAAATTATCTTTCTTTTTTTTTGTCTTGAAATAAAATTTACTTAATTTGTCTTCAGTTAAGAGACTGCTCGTATGTGTAATTATCTCGACTATACATAAGTAAAGGTAAAAAAACGAATGCTATATTATTTGAATTTTCAAGAAAATAACTTTAAGTTGAAATGATTATCAAATAAGAATATTGATTTATATATACAATGTTTTATTTGGTCAATATAATAAGTTTGTCTTTGAATTTATAAATCAAAATATTTGTATTGTTAATATTTTATTTTACAGATCGAATGAAATAATTTGAGAATTTATAACATAATAATTGTACATCTATTAGAGAAGATTCATTTTATAAAATTTTTAATATATTTTATTTGAAAAAAAAAATTGAATTTAGTTTTTGTGATATTTCGTTTATGTTCTTTGTCAGAACGATTATCAAATTATTTTAATATTGGAAAGATTTGTACGGTAAATTCATTCAATTGAATAATTTCATGTTTAGAGTGGCGAAATTTCATGTTTTTTTTTTGTTACAAAGTTAACCATCATTTTAGTTCTTCGCTCTGCTATTGAAAATAACAAGTCATCATACTCGATTTCAAATCAATGGAAATATTAATTTGAATTATATATATATATGATTGAAAATGTTGAGCAAAAAAATAAGTAGGTTAATTTAATGTATTATTTTTTCTTTATTGTACATTATTCATTTATTAAATAAATAAATAAATTTCTTAAATGAAATTATAAAGTTTTTTCATTATTAAACAAAAGATAAAGTCAGATCGTTTATTTTCAATTATAAAATTTTGTGATTAAAAAGTTTTTAGACTTTGAATTCGAAAGAACATATGAGTTACGATCAGAGTTTTGTGTGTGTTTTTTTTTGGATATGAAATTTTGTTTATAAATAAGAAAAAGTAGCTCGAACGGAAGATTTTTGTATTACAATTAAAAGTTATATGACAAAATACATCATTTGAAGAGTTTTGTTTTGTTAGGCACATCATTTTTCGTTTATTTTTCCGCAAAAAAAAGTATCTACCTTAGAAAACGATTAACTCCGACAAATTTTACAATGTTCAAAAAATAAACTTATAGAATAAACAATAATCTAATAGTTCATCATTAAAAAATAATTTTTTACATCTTCGAAAAAGTTATTAGCATAATCTTCATGAAATATAAAATACAATTTAGCTGTTGTTCCTAATCATAAAGAGATTTTCTTTATTCTATATATATTGAGATACATTTCTTCACTATCTTTTTAGTTAATACTCCAGAAATACAATAAGAAAGTACTTCTTATATCAAAACAAGTCGTAATCGATATATAATCTTTCATAGTATATCAACAATATATGCCATGGTCTATAGCAGACGTTTGAGACCTTCGATGATAATCTCTGACAAGTGTATATTATATTTGCTAGCAGGCATTTGTAGCAGTGTCTGGGAGAAGAGAGCCCAAAGCGTGTTTTACAAAGGTATAAAATTCTAATTGTGATTTATAATTTGTGTTTCATCTGAAATGTTTTCAAGCAGATTAAAATGAATAAACAGGTTCGATGAAAAACATTCTATTCAAACGAATATGTTTGGCTTTTTCAAAGAGTGTTTCTCATGATCGCAAACTAAGTTTTGAAGTTCACATTTGAAAAGAGAACATTGTAATACTTTCTAGCTGATTAAAAGTCTATAAACATCTTGTTTAAAAATTTTCTGAAAGTAAAATACTTTGTTTTTATCCTTTTATTAAACTATTCTATAACATGAAAGTCTTTGTACAAGACATTTCAGTTTTTCTTGACTACTAAAAGTCAAGCGGTGAAAATTAGGGATGTACCGAGACCGAGACTTTCGGTCCGAGTCGACTCGGTCTCGGTCAATCGCAGCCGAAAAGCTTAAAGAAATATAATTTTGCCCGAGACAGAGTAGCACACTTATCTATGATGAAGAAATGATCGAGATTAAGCATAATCGAGACCGGCACTACTCAATACCAAGGTTGAGGCTAGCCAAGACCGAGAGTCTCGGTCTCGTTCATTCTCGGCCGAGACTGACCGAGACCGAGCTCTCGGTCTCGGTACATCCCTAGTGAAAATGAGAGTGAATAATTATTAGAAAATTTAATGAATAAAGTTCAAAATTGTGTAAAAATAGTATTTTTGCTGCAATTCTTAGTTTATATCTTGAAATTGTTTCCACTTAACACTACTGAGTTCTATACAAAATAAGATACTTATCTATGTGTTTTCATTATAATATTAGTTTCTATGACATTCGATATTGATCAAAAAAATTGCACTTAAAAATATGAATGTTCTAAAATCTATCATACAAAAGTAAATAGAAACATTTCTCATGGTAATTATTGAATCTTTTCTCAGAAGAAAATTTTGAAAACATATTCTGATTCTAATTAACTACTTCTGACTCTAAACAATTGTCATTAAGCTACTGAAAAAACAAAAATGAATAAATATTGTGCGATAAGATTTTTATGCCGTAGATTAAATCGATTGGAATTTTTAGTCTTAATAATTATGTGCTTAGAGAATAGAATATATTTTTTAAAAATACATAATTTAATATAGAAATTTGATTCGATAGAGTTTAATACTGTTATCATCCGATTTCTTTTCAAAACAAAAGTTTCAATATTTTGTTTATATGGTGGAAGTTACTTTTTAATATATAATATACATATAGATTATATCTCAATTGGAATACGCTCTGTTTTATCTTTTTCTCTCTTACCTTTCTCCTTTTGATTTACATAAATATATTTAACAAAAATTAACTCAAACTTTTTTCTTTTATATGATACTAACATTGATTTCCTTCATCTTATAGTTTGATCATCATCATTAACTCTTCGATCATATGTAAAATTGTTCTTGATCATTATAAACAATGGAAAACTTTAAACAAGCTCATATTAATCTTAACATAATTACCTTTTGGACTACTATTTAGTATTCATCTGAGGCTCATACAAGTTTCAATTGATATAATAAATATAACACATAAAGTTCCTTCTAGTTGATCATGGACATGCGAAGCCTCGGGAAAAGACTTATTTAGAAGAAGAATACAAAGAAAAGCTTGTTAGCGCAGCACCTTTGAGGCTGAAATGTGAAACTCACATATCTCCTTTGGTTTCATTATAACTAATGACAAAATCTCCAAAAGATAATAGTTCTTTTCTAAAGATAATCGATTATTAGAAAATGCTATATTTTAATTTCGAACAGAATATTTTTTTTTTCACAAAATTGTGAAGGTCTGTAATGGGGAGGTTGTCTGTAATGCTCTCTTTCTCCGTTACTATGTGTCTCTAATGGGGTGAGGGAGGAAGAGCCGCCAATAGAGTCCGTCGGGTCCAAAAATTTTTGGACTCGGACCCGACCGTCTAAACTTTTTTGGACCCGAACCCGACGGACTCTAGTCGCCAACCTTGAACTGAAAACTTACACTCACTATTTTCTTCGAAAATATACGTGAATTTTACAACAATTTTTTCTGTCAGAATTAGAAAAATAAAATTAAGTCACCTTCTTCTGTATACTATTCAAATAAGAAAAAATTCATTTTCACGTAAATGTACGAGACAACAACATCATACTATCATGTTTTAACAATAGGCAAAGAAGTTAATCGATGTGTATCATAAGAAATTACATGCCAGGAAACTTACTGAATGTCTTCAAGGTCTAAAACATTTTTAGATGGATTTTTTTTCAGGTATGAGAAAAATCGATGTTCTCATATAGTTAACGTTTTATAATATATTGTCATATAAGAATTAGATTAATTCACGTGTAATATTTTGATGTTTTCAACATGGGTTTTTATTATAAGATCTTATTTTTATTAATTCCATACTTTCTTAGAATTGAGTGCAATATTTCTTAGATGTTATTCTTCAAAAATATATCGTTGATACTCATACACCTTTAAATAGGTCAAAAGATAAAAAGAAAACGAAAAAAATAAGATGAAATACCCGTATCCATATTCAATCTCTTCTAATAGTATTTTTATTAAAATCTCCTAGGAATAGTTTTCTTTTTAGTTCTCAATGTCGTAGATTTTTCAATGTTTTTGTCTGACTTTTTCCTAGATTGAGAAAATATCTCTATTATGTAGATATACATTTAATGTGGTTCATAAACTTGTTTTTTGTTTTCTGTCATTGTTAAACATATTATTATTGAAAACTTACGGAAACGACATATTTTATTCTTATTATTTCCGATGTCATATTTTTATTTTCCAAACATTTCATGAATTTCTTATCGGTGTACGTTTGTAAATTTAAAACAAAAAAAAAATTTTACAAATCAAGCTAAATATTCTTACTTTCTTTTGTTCTTTTCTATTGTAGAAAATAATTAACTAAATAATTCTATGTTAATAAACAGAATGAAATAATGTAAATTATTATTTAACAATGATTTAGAGTTAATTTTCTTAATAATGCAGTTCTATATAAAAACTAC